CCAATCGAATTTCGAATTTCGGTCGGATGATTCGAAAATATTCTCAAAAAGTCAGAAAAGCGAAGAAAAAACGCAATCGAGTCCGAAAAGTTGGAGTCAGATTCTTCCAGCATTCCTACGCAAATCATTAGCATGATGTTGGCGATAAAATACAAATATGTATCCCGATTCCATCTTTCTGCGTATTTTGACAAGGTAAAAAAAAAAAAAGTTCAGAGCCCCATTGACAGATCAATTCGCCCAGTCACACCTTCCCAAAGGCCATACATTGACTTAAATTACATAATTTATAATACATCAATTGAAAGTCGTGCGGCCCAGCCACAGTCACGGAAGGCGACATGGCAACCTGGCAACAAATCACGAAGGCCTCGCGATGGCCTTCGCAGCTTTACCATAAATCGCTGATCACATTTTAAACCCCGTTCCCTTTTTCGGGATATCGAATTTCAGATCCAGCCTTCGATTTCTTTTCGAGGTTCGAATTGGGCTGGAGTTCTCGGGCCAGATTTACCAAATAAACTCAGTGTTATAATAATAGATATTCTAACAAATGTATAATTATAATAATATTTAATGATAAGTCGGCGACAGTTCCCTCAGGAAATTTTTTTTTTACGTTTTCGCTTCTCAAACCCTTAAGTCTTTCGAAGTAATTTATTAGCAATTTATAACCGTTTCCTCGATGAGATTTATTCAAAAAGTTGGGTTGGGAGAATTTTTTTTTTTAAAGCAACAGGACATAGAACATGATAAATAGTAACACATATAATATTTTAAATATATGGCTGAAAATCGAAAAATGAAACGCGAGTGGGATTTTGTGAAAAAACGCAAAAAATTATTGATGGCAAAAATGCACGCGTTTTCTGCGCTTCTTGCCATTTGCCGAATGTGCAGAATGGAAGAATCGATTATCTTCCATTTTAGAAATAAAATGCACGCATACACGAGGCTAGTCAGCCGTTGCAGTCTCGAGTCCGAAAATCAATCAATAAATATGAGAGAAAGTCGGAAAAGAGTCAATTTGATTCGCAGATAATTGTAAAAACATTTAAAATATATCTAAAGTACATGTTCTCTATTTTCTCCCGAGGCGGCGCAGGCGAGAAGGGACTGTAGGCAGCAGGGAAAGTAAAAAATGGCCTGCAGACTGGAAGACGCAAAAACGGGAGGAGCAGCGAAGTGCGATAAGGTTCCTGTGGGCGCAGGGCCACACACCGACGAAATTCATCGTGGATTGAGTGCTGCGTATGGAGACAACCGGATGTCAAAACGTCAAGTCCAAATAGTGGTATGACGAGTTCGACTGCAGGACGACACAAGTGTCGTCGACGACGAGCCAAACACGACTCGATGCAAATTGAGCCCAAACACGGCCCAAACACGGCCCCCTACAGCCACGAGCATTGCAGTCGCCCGCTCGTCGTCGACGACACTTGTCGTCGACGACACGTGTCGTCCTGCAGTCGAACTCGTCATACCACTTTTGGACTTGACGTTTTGACATCCGGTTGTCTCCATTCGCAGCACTCAATCCACGATGAATTTCGTCGGTGTGTGGCCCTGCGCCCACAGAAACCTTATCGCACTTCGCTGCTCCTCCCGTTTTTGCGTCTTCCAGTCTGCAGGCCATTTTTTACTTTCCCTGCTGCCTACAGTACCTTCTCGCCTGCGCCGCCTCGGGAGAAAATAGAAAAGAACATGTACTTACATCTTTATGTACGATTTTTTTGCGTGCAATACAGTACCTACGAACATTTTCGATTGACCTTATTTTCCGACTTTCCCTCGTATAAACAGTCTCTGAGAAACTTGGAAGAAATCCAACCCACGAACAGAAAATGAGCAATTAGTATTTTAAATCTATATTATAATTATTTTCGTGTTATTTAGGCAGATCGAATCAGCGATTAGTAAACGCGAGGTAACGCAAATTCAGAGAGCAAGCCTTTTCCGCCTCACCTGTGGGACCTCGGAGGGTGCGGGTCGCCGTTCTGGTGGCCCGCGGTCGAATACTTGGAGTTCCTCGGGGACAAGGAGTGACTCGGGCGTCTGGGTTTCCGGAGCGTTTCCCCGCCCTTCTCCATGCTCAGACCCCGGCGAGGCGACTCCAGGCAGACCTGCGGCCCCTGTCAACAAAAAAAAAATAAATAAATAAAATATATATAATATAATATAATGTAATATAATAATACACATATATATGTAATATCGGGAAATAATGGGTACCATGGAGCGAAACGCTCTCCTCGCGAGGACGCAGACGAGACGCATTCCGGTCTGAATCCTCGTCGATCTTCTCCCCATCTTATCTTTCCCCCCCATTTTGAAGGAAGGCCAGAGGGACAAAGATCCGATCGCGAAACTCGTCCGCGCACACGTGCCATCAATCAACACAACGTCTCCCCCCCCCCGGCCCGCCAACCGGGTTTGGGGGTGTGTGACGCGCACGGCGCACGCCTCGAGGAAAGGGAACGCGTTCACGCGCATTTACTTCGGTTCTACCGGTTCGAGTCGATGGGATCGCAAGGACGAAGTCGTGCGACCATCGCCGTAGGCGAGTTTTGGGGGCCATGCCGATTTCTCATCGAATCCGCGAAAACAGTGATTCGCATCGTTATGCCCCGTTATGCGCCGTTAGGCCCCGATCCGACACGCGAGAACATGAGCACGTGGGTGCTGCCGGGGGTCCACGACGTCCGGTTACTCCCGTAAGTAGCGCATGATTCCATGTCATTTTAATGTTTTAATATTAAAACGCATCCCGTGTCGAAATGTTTGTCTCGTCGCAACGACGTCACCTTTCTTGCGTTTCTTTCCCGAATCGTCGGAGTCTCCTCGCGCGTTCCAGACCCTTTCCCCCGCCCTTTGGTCCCATTCGAAACGTCAGACGCCGGGGGACGCAGAGGACGCGGAGGACGCAGTGGACGCCGGGGGACGGACGCAGCCGATGCGACCTCGAAGGAAATCGTTCCAAATCGGGCGCGTCTAGTGCGCGTCCCGCCACGACGTTACGACGCATCGCTTCGCCGTCAAAGCGATCCGGTACCTGCACGAAGGCACCCGGCATTTACACCAGGGTACACCATTTACTCGGTACCCATGCTCGGTGCTTCGTGGCATCCATTTACGACCATCGAACCGAAAAAAAACTCTCATTCGATGCACATAGGGCTACGAACATTATAACTCTTCTAACAACATGTGATTACCAAATACCTTATATATTTAGTTCAAGCAAATGACAAACTCATTCCATAGCGGTAGCAGACGACGCGAGGCGCGATCGATCGTAGCAGACGACGCGAGGCGCGATCGATCGTAGCAGACGACGCGAGGCGCGATCGATAGCTGCAGACGACAGGATTTCATTCGGGGAACGAAAAGAGTTTCACGCGAAAACGACCCTCGCAAGAAAGGGGTCGACCAGACCGCTTCGACTCGCATCGACTCTCTTTCACAATGGGTCCCTCTCAATTCCCAGACCGACCTCGTATCCTCGTAGAATCCAACGCGTGACTTTTTTTTTACTTTCAGGTCCGAAGACGAGAATGCTGAGTCCAGACAAAGGCGCCTCCTCCCCGTCCTTCAGCGAAGACGACAGCCGACGCCATTCCTACACGTCCCTGCCCACTCCTTCCGGTCGGTCTCACGTTTCCCGTTTCTCTTTCGCGACTGTCGTAACGCTTCTCGGCGTGGGACAGGGACGGTGGGGCGGAGTCGGAGCACGCTGTCCACGTCCACGCTCTCGAGGCTCAAGAGGGAATACGGTCTCAGGTATGGGGCGTGGCTCTGGGACGCGGAAACCAATTCGCTCGTCTTTCAAAGGTTTTTTTTTTGTCTTTTTCTTTAGTGAGTTGGAAGGTTCGGGTGATGGATTTTTTTTTTCTCTGTGGAATGGATCGGGGGTGGATTAATGGGCTTTTCCCCCGATTGCGAATAATTAAGTCGACGTGGCCTTTGTCTTTTTCAATGCAAGAAAACCGTCTGTCACTGTCGTATGGGATAGAATAGGAAAGCGATGAAAGCATCTTCGATTGGCTTCATTTGTCTGCACCAAAGCTAGTTGAATCGGGTTGGTTCAAAAATAGGTTCAATGAACATTAAGAACCATTCTCCATACCCAAAAATAACCTCATAAAAAAAAACTCGGAAGAGTCTGGAATTCCACCCACGATCCATACTACACGTCGAAAAACTGGTTTCTCGTGGAGTGCAGATTCCCCAAGGGCCAAAGGGAAGGAGGAAAAGGGGAGAAGACGAGGTCGCTGGGGCACATCCGCCACCAGGTGACCCTGGCCGCCCTCCGACCTTACAAGAGAAAAGGTGACATCACGCTGGAAGACGTGAAGCGGGTGGCGGAGAGGCTGTCCGTGCCGGGACCCCACGAGGGGAGGGTCTTCCGGGTCGTGTCGACCGCCGAGTGGATGGATCGATTTTACCTGGCGGCTGTCGAGTACTTCCATCACTTTTTGGATCTGGTGGCGGAGAAGAGGAGGTTTCGGTTCGAGGTGGAGAGGCCGGTGATTCCGGTGCTGGTGAGGGCGGTGAAGGAGCTCGCGGGGGCGGTGAGGGGTCGGGGGTCGAAGGGGGTGCTGGAGAGGGGGGTGGAGACGCTGGTGGCTCACGGGGCGGCTCCGTTTCTGTATCCCTTTCCGGACGGGGATCTGGACGTGGTGGATCTGGTTCTCGACGAGTGTCTGGGGGTGCTCGAGGCCGAGACGCATCGGAGCCACCGTCAGGCGAAGAAGTCCCTCAACTCCATGTGGAAGAACCGGGAGGAGGAGAAGCTCCGACACCTGGCCGAGAAGGAGGCTCTGGAGCGAAGGGTCCAGCGAGGCCTGGAGAAATTCTCCGAGTCCTACTGCTCCCTTCTCCTGAGGAAGGAGTTCGGGGACCTGGGCGCCGGGAGGTCGAAGGTCCTCGCCCGGTTCACGGCGCTGGTCGCCTGGGTCGCCCTCGAACGACGGGACCTCTCCTCCATCGACAAGGAATTGGATTCCCTTCTCGGGATCGCCGGCCGCCACGGACGGAAAAAGGATCTCCCCGTCTCCGAGCTCGTCCACGTCGAACTCCAACGCCGGAAACGATTCCTCGGGTACCGGCGAACCACTCGAATTCCGAATGCACGAATCGATCCTCATAACGATCCTAATAGCTATCCTCATAACGATCCTCGTAACTGGATTTTCGCAGAAGAGGATCCGAGGCGAAGGAGGAAAGCCCGAGCCCCGAATCTCCGCCGGCCCATCTGGGCATATTGGGCCGAAAATGCTGCGAATTCAACGGAGACTTGGAACCCCTCTCCGATTATCTCTCGCAACTCTGACTTCTCGCACGACCAAGCCATTTCTGCTATATTTTATTTCCTACTATACTGTACAGGCTCACCTATTCGTGTCTGTCCTGTTGTATTCCTCGATGCGAAACACGATTACTCAGGTACACAAATCAATAAAATTTTGTCACGATTCCAGCAAAAATGCGACATCTTTGATGGTTCAAAAAGGTTTCAAATCGGAAAATTTCCAACCATGCGAGAAATTCGTGTGCGATTTGATGCTGAATTCCAGATGGGATTCTCCAGTTTGCTCATCGGAGGAATAGGTACCCTCACCACCCTACAGTACTGTGTGTCTTAACCAGAATCCATGAAGCCTTACAGTTGGTATTCCCATATTTTTTTTAAATTATAAATGTAGCGTGATCTCCATTTCGAGGAAACTGTCAACGAGCGACTTTGTTACCGTACAAAAACCTTAATTTTTCCGCTATTCCTATTTCACCAGCAAGTAGCTCTCTGGTATTGACAGATTCCAATTTTTCGCGATACGACCGAATTGAACAGACAATGCGAATCGCCTCCGCACCCGAGAGCGCACTCGCACGAACGAATTCCATTTCTAAAAGTTCGAGTCAACTATCGCTCACAATCACCCTCGATACTTTTATTTCGCCAGAGCGCAGAAGCCCGATCGCGCGGGGAGTCCCAAAAGTCCCATCGCCCCGACGAGGCTTCCGACAGGAACTCGGAATTCCCCGATCGGCGATGACCTCCGCCCTCCATCCCTCGCACCTTTGGAGCGGCTTTTAACGAGCTGAAAGGCGTCACAGCGGAGCCAGACTGGAGGGCGGAGGCATTTCCAGCCGCTTCTGCGAGCATGCTGGCGACGCACGACGGCGACCGACATTCGGGACACCTGCCTATTCTCGTGGCCTCGTTGATTCAGAAATTTACGGACGTTTCGCGATCCTTTCCAGGAACGTGTTCACCTCGCGTCTGCCTCCATGCGACAGAATGATAGATGCGACCACAGATGCGACCACAGATGCGACCCCACACCCGCATCCCAAGGATCCTCACGAGCGCAGCGTCCGCGAGATCGAACTTCGCTGACGAAAACCAAACGCCGAGGGAATCGAGCCGAACCGATGCTTAGCCTAAGTATCGACGAGCAGCCTCCGGTGGGGTGCAACCGTCCGATATCCATGCAAAAAAGGTCTTATCAGGTCTTCATAAAGGTCAAAAGGTCTTGAAAAAAAGGCTTAAAAAAAACTAAACACAATAGTAAAGTTATATGTAAAGCTGTAGGCTTTTTTTTTTTTTAATTGCGGGCACGAAACGTGCTTTTAGGTTCGAATGCATCAAATTGAAGGCTGAAAGCACAACTGGTCAATCTGCAAAGAATTTCTCCGCAAACGGATATTTGGGGTAACTGGGAAATACCATTTTTCTCATTAAAAATAGTACGTTGAGGTAATGTTTTCAGCGAAAAATCGATCTAAATGAATTTGTTCCCAAGAATTAGCTATATGTAACATTGACATTTTCCTGAGCTTGAGAGATTCATTTCGACGAAGAGAGACCAGTTTTTCTTCCAGCCTTTCGATTCTTAGTTTGTAATTTGACACAATAGGTATCAAATATGTGAAAGATCGCATTTCCGAGCTGAAGTCAGGAAGAGACGCATCAGCAAAGATCGACTTCAATGCTACAGTGGCATATCCAATCGAATGAATTCTTGCATTATTTGGGTTTAAAATCTGACGAAAGACGTTGGCCAGCACAACCAGCCGTACCTTAGTCGAGGCTGCGGGTGAGGAACGAGAACCTCGCTGGGAAGAAGAGGAGGGATTGAAATCACCCATCGGTCGAGGTCTGGGTGCACTATGATCACTAGTGCGCTGTGTCCTCACCTTCAGAACAATGCAGTATTCCGAAGAAATTAGTGACCTTAAGCGGCCACTCTTCCTCTGGAAAAAAAAAACGCATACAAGGTCATATTTCAAATACCTTTACTTATCATGCCGCAAATCGATACTCATCATGAGGAATGTCTCGACTTAGGGTCAGAACGAGGAATGAGATCCGACATCCCTGGCATATATGGCGCCGTCCATAAACCCTTGCGGAAGTCACATGGGAACATATGGTCGATCTATGCCATCTGCACTCGCGTACACTCGTGCGTTTGTGGGCTGGCATGGACGAAAGGCTAGGCCTAAGCCTACCCGTGTCTCGTGAACGATGAAGCTAGTGAATGATGAGAGGGGAAGAACGAGCGTTTTGGGGTTCCTCGCCGGTTTTGTGGCATTTTACGGACCGGTTTTGGGAGTTGATGGCTCGTGGACTCATCGCATCGCCCTCGTAGCTGTCTCCACCGGCGTCCTCCTTGCAACTTTCCGATACTTCCTCTCAACTACAAACTTCCAGGTCTCTTCTTGCTTTCTCAAGGACGTGCTTGCTTTTGACTTTAAGATTCCAGTTGAAACTGCATATCAGGATGAGGAGATATTTAAGGTTGAATTAAGCCTGATGTCAAGTCAAGGCCTCGGCATAATTCTAGGATTTATTGCAGATTGGATGGAGAGGAGGACTGCTAGGATTGGTGTTTGCAGTGGGCACCAATGTCATGGTGCATGGATACCCCACATACTTTGGATATGGATCATACCTGGCTTTCCTTTCCTTTTTTCACTTCTCTGAATATGTGACAACATCTTTGATCAAACCTGCCTCATTATCCCTGAGTTCCTACCTTCTGAACCATAGTCGAGCATATCATAAAGCAGCTGTGGCAAGCTGGACTGAGTTCTTCCTTGAAGTCTTCTTCTTTCCTGGTCAGTTCCCAATGTTCCATTACTTGGATTTTTTTTTTAATGAACCAAATTGACCTTGATACAGTGTTCAAAACGGTGTGGGACAGCATCCTGGAAAGAGAATTTTGCCTTGAGTAAGCTTCCAAAAATGAAGGCTGTAAAACTGCAACTCACTTGGGATGATATCCCATTGGAATGGAATGGGGAGGCGAGCAAATTTTCACATGAACAAGGAGATTTACCAATAAGAAAGCAAGTTCATCATAGCCAGATGAGGGTTTAGACCATTTCCAATCCTTGCAGCCATTTACAACCAGTGAAGATTTCTGGAATGATTGAGAGCTTCAATCACAGAATTTTTGTGATTGCAGAATGGATGATAACTTCAACTAAAGTAAATCCAAAGAAAGATACAATACAGTTGTAGTCAAGGTTTTAGGTGAATATCAATTTTCTTTTTAATTGCCATCTTCAGACAAAAAAGCTTTCACTAAATGACACGAGGTCTCCATATTATTTTTTCAGGGAAGGGGAGTGGAAAGCAGTATTATAAAGAACCTATTTCTAGCCATACCCTCACAAAAAAAAATCAATTTTGAGCCTTGCCTTCATATATGGCTCATCCTAACAATAGCCTTGACTTTTGTTCACAGGGATGAAGCATAGGCCTATGCTGTGGATCCTGGGGAGTACACTCTGCTTAATTGGGGAAGGTTTGAGAAAGGCAGCCATGTTCACTGCTGGTTCCAATTTTGATCACGTTGTTCAGGAAAAAAAGGAAGAGGGTCATGCCCTGGTCACGAGCGGGGTGTATGCTCTATGTCGCCATCCAAGCTATCTTGGCTGGTTTCTCTGGTCTATTGGCACTCAGGTTCTTCTTATTGCACTGTTTTCTCTACAAGATAAAGGTAACTGAGCAATGCCATTGAGCTGAAAATGTTCCTTCTTGTTTTAGGTGCTGCTATGTAATCCCCTTTGCACTGTTGGCTATGCAGTGGCTTCATGGAACTTTTTTGCAAGTCGAATTTATTCGGAGGAGATCACTCTCATTGACTTCTTTGGAGAAGATTACCTTCGCTATCAAGAAAGGGTCCCATCTGGGGTTCCTTTTATCAAGGGGTTCCAAGTCTCCTTGCAACCTGAACTGGAATCAGAAGATGAGGAATCAGACAGAAATGAGTCAGACTGAAGGAACCTTGATATGCTGCTTCCCTCAATGAAATTTCTGGAATTGTGGCTTAAGTGTTTCTCCTCATTGAAATATGTAATTTTTTAAGAATTTTACTCACATGCTAGAAGATGAGAATTCAGATTGGCTTTTGTACATCCTTGAACTTATTTTTTACTATTGGACACACAAGACAACAGACAGTAACCTGTCATGGTCAGTAAAGGAAGGCAGTGCCTATTCAATGATTCCCCCCATTTGAAAAAAGGCCTCATGATTGGCATGATTGCTTTTTAAGGTGTGCTGAATTTGTACCTCCTTGACATGGCATGCAGAGTGGCATGTGTGTTACTCTGATGATAGGCAGATACTCCCCAGATGATCAGTCACATGTTGGCATAGAAGAGCCTACCAAGAGTAGATACTGCTCTTCCTGGGTTTGAGGTGAAAGCCCTACCAGTTGAACAGTAAATGAACTCATTCCTTAACCCTTAAAATCAGAAGGTGCTAATATATTGACCCTTTGTATTCATATTAAAATTTCCAAGGTGCTGACCAATTGGCAATGGCTTTATGTGCTAATAGGTAAATTGGATTTATAATGATTTTTCAAATAACACTGCAAATTTATATAAAACTAGCTTGGGAATTTATGCATATAGTACATATATTCTCAGCTTAATTTATTAACCCTTTCACTCCCAAGCCTAAATAGGCTTGGGAGTGAAAGGGTTAATAAATTAAGCTGAGAAGTTTGACTGGAGTGAACATTCTGATGAAACTGATTGGTTAATTTCATGCATGATTTCTGCATCTTAAGTCTCAATCCTTATTTTACTCCAATAAATGTCTGATAGAACTTGTTTATAATAAGACCTCAATTATGGCAACAATGAATGCCTGGTCAGGGTCTTAGTCCCCTGGATACATGTATTTATATCTTATTGATAGTGAACTTGGTCAAAGCCAGGTTCTGGTCCTACTGACCAAAGTGATAACATTGTCAAGGTCTCAATTTCCCATTGTGCTCCCCTATAACTGGAGTTTCCATCATTGATATCCATGGCCATTGTCAAGCTGTAACTGCTTCTTTGAAAAAATCTGCATTCCTAGAGGGTCTCAAATTTTGCAGTGGGCACGACTGTAAAAGGGTGGGGGGAGGGATGAATTCTGCCCACCAAAGGATAATTAAATTAATCATCCACTGAAATACTGTTACGTAAATAATAAATGCAAACTTGTTTATAATGAACCTTGGCCATAATGGCTTTTTTTTCACCTCCTGTCAATGACACTAAAACAAAGTTCTACTTCAAATGATATTTTATTGACATTTATGTACATCATAAAACATCATTTCCATGTCCTTTTGGGTAGCCTTGGCTGTTGCTGCTATTAATGGGTTAACCATTCTTGCCATACCTTCTATGATGTCTTTCAAGTTTCACCACGACTGATCAACAGTCCATTTCCAAGGCCTTGGATTTAAGATCACTTGCTTATCATTGCATGTCTTGCTTGTGTTCCAAGGGGAATAGAGAAAGTAACGAGTAAATGGCTCTTTTCAATTTTATTCATTTAATCAGCAACTACAAATTAGTGTTGGTAAGTGACTCTCCCTCCTTCGCTAAAGTCTTCCGATTTCTCCCATGTGGAAAAGATGAGATTAAAGGTGGAAGGGAGGTAAAAATACAGTTGGGGGAGAAGGACATGAAACCCTTCATGGAAGTCTCTTCAGTGTTTCAGGATGTTGAATAAAGCAGATATTATGACCTGAATTATTGGTTTCCTTTTTACATCTGATTTGCTCTGGAACAAGTTCTACTTACTTCCTCAGCATACTTCCTTCAGTGCTTGCATTGGACATCTAATCAACTGCAGCTCAAAAAATAGAAGTTGACCCTTTTTAGGGAACTAATACAATAGTGTATCATCTCCCTCTCATTCTGCAGTTTTGCTCTATAAAATGGAAATTGAATGAGGTGGACAAACAAAACCCACAGATATAGGATGGGCACTGCGAATGTCAGCACTCTAAGCAAATTCCTCACTTCCACCTATCTTGCTGGCTTTCATAATGGAGCTTCCTCATTCATATTGGGTCTGGTGATACCTTTATTATAAACCTTCTTGTACCACAAATCTTGGGTGCTGCATGCTTTTCATTTCCAAGGTGAAGTTGGGTCAGATGATGGGAATCTCAGCACACTTTTTTATCACTGTTGTTTGAAACTGACTCAAAAAGGGAATGTAATGACCTAATAATACAATACCTAGTATGGAAAAGAATGGAATGTGCAAAAGCTTTACAAAATCACAAAATTTCAAAGGATTTTTGGAGAGCACTTAGAGAAAGTGGCCACAGTGAGAAAACTACAACAGCAAATATGACTGTTCCGAGGACATGTTAACAACATTAGTCCTATCATCTGAGAATACTTATCTACACATGCCTAGGGGACAAGAAGTGGAAGCAGAATTTTGAAGACTGCAAAGTGCCAAGATAACCCTCAGTACTGACATTTGCAGTGCTTTCCTTATATACATCTCAGTAACAATCAGATCAGTTTAGGAGTTTTAGACCATTTAGGAAAATACAAAACTTTCTCAGAGGAAGAGGTATCAGAAGCCAATGCAACACTGTAGGGAACTGCATCATTCAACATTAATGTGTAACTTCAAAATCAGAGTACAATCAGGTGATTTATTAATGATTTTATTGATGAGTGATGTTCATAATACATTCTTCATACCACAAAACAATTCCCAATCCCCTTGAAGTGCACTATGAGAGCAAATAACAAAACTTTCTAAAAACAGAAACAGATTCAAGTTAGACTTGAACTGGAGGTTAGACTAACAATCTAATGATTGAACTTTTCCCATTGTTTAGAATTCAGACTCTTCCTGTAGTTGAAAAATCTGATGCATAGAGGGAAAGCATTCTGTGAGATTCCACACAAGAATCAATCCAATGGTGCAACTTACTCAAAGAAAAACTTCTCACAAATCACAAAGTTCTAACTCCCCCCTTATATAGTGATATCATGAACTTGTAAAGCTCTAATGTCTTCCCTAATGTACCATTGAACTCCATACTTGAATGAGTTTTTCTCTGCATGCAATAAGAAAACGTCACACATTTACATAGGATTTCAATAATGTTTTCTCATTAGAAGCTGATACTTCCCTTCCTACTCACTTCATCATAAATGGATGAGTATTCAATGATGACTTACACTGCTTACACTGGCCAGAGATTTGACCCCTCAATTTCAAAACAAATATATGTAAAACCTAGAAACCATCATATTGCCTAATGCACTTGGACTAACAAGACATTGAATCAACTTTAATAAATATCTACTAGATAGGGTAGAGAACCCTGACAGTGCATATTTGCCTTCATGTCATTATGGTATCTCCTAAAAATGGGCCTATTTGAGATGAATCCTTATTCACCATTTTGCTACAACAGACTGAGGCAGCCAAGATGTCTGGTTATATATATATAGACTAATGTTTAGCCAAGAGCTGTTGATCAAAACCTTATATGCCCATCACAGCACATCTCCAATTGGTCCATTTTTATAACACACTAATGATATAAGGGCAATGATATGCTATACCACAGCATCATGGCAATGTATTAGGAGTTTGAATCTGTCATTTAAGACAAATATCCATTCCTTTTGTTTATCCCATGCAGGCCATTTGGCAGTACTAGACTTAATTTTGACACCAGAAACCAACTATATAAAGTTTGTAACTACTCAAGCTTCTGCAACATGGTGAGATCATTTTGGCATAAAATCACAGGGAGGGAAAGCATTGCTAAGTGATGAACTGAGTCCATCACATGCTCCTAAACACACTCCTTCACCACTGGAATGCAAATTGACTGGGATGGAATGCAAAACACAACAGCTGCCCGGTCTACACTCAGGCAACCATCTCCAAACTGCCTTCTTCCTCAAGACGGGATAGAAACTTGAGAGTTCGAAACTGTTCTTCTGTTTGCCTGGCCATATCCACCATGGCAAGCAATTTCCTGATTCCAATGAACACCCTACATGCAAATCATGCAAATGAGGATCCATACATTCAAACATGAGAAAGTCCAGAGAAAAGGAAATATAAAACACCAACCTCCGATCCTTGGTTTTGTTGGAGATATTTAACAGTTCGCGCTTAGAGAACACGTCTGTTTCTTCGAGGACACGCAGTAGGTGTTCTGACTTGGACAGACAAGGGACATGAAGTACTGCTGTGAATGTAAAGATCAGCTCCAAGTCTTCCAGCACTTGTCTGCATTGTTTGACATACAATTACCTGTCACTTGACTGAATGAAAATGAAGCACTAATGATGAAAAAAGCAGAAGGGACCTTCGACTAGAGGTGCAGATTACAAGAAGTTGCCTTCCCCGTGGAGGCTGCTTTTTGAGAAGGACCAGCAGGGCCTGGAGAGTGAGGTTGGAATATCGAGGTCCCACTGGACCATAGTCTATGAGACGTTCCAGGTTATCTACAACGATGCAGCTCATTGTCGACTTGTATGCATCATCGAAGGTCTACACCAGAGAAGCCCAGATGTTATAAGTAAAAAGAACAAATGAATGAGTGAAAACAGATCAAAGAGCAGACCTTGCGGATGGTGAGGCACTTGGCAGACTCAGTGAAGCCGATCATGTCCTCGGGAGTGCAGACCTTCACGAACGGAAAGCCGGAGTTCTTGGCCAGGAATGCAGCTAAGGCAGTCTTTCCAGAATTGGGAGGTCCTTCAAGAAGGACGGAGACGAGTCCTGAACTTTCGGGGCTCTTGGCCTGCTGAATCAATAGATTCCCATCTTCCAACAAGTGATGGACAGGATCACCCCAGGCAATGATTCCTCGTGCCATGTACGTAGTGAGTGCCTCTTCACTTGCTCCAAATGCCTAAACAAAATACCATTCCATTTACTCATTCTGCATGCTTGTAACTGAGAAATGGGTAATTGAATTAACCACTTGATTCTCAAGGAAGTACAAGTGTTATTTCCTTTTCAATGGAGCAAGCAAAAAACTACTGTAGTGGTAGTTTTTTGCTTGCTGCTTTACTGCTTGCTTACTGCTTTTTTATTATATCACATTGGATGCCTTCTACTAGAATCTGAAAGTAGGACCCACCCTTGATGAATTGATTCTTGTGATGAAATTTAATTAATCTGAACTCATTCTCCTTGCAGAATATAGCAGCACTAACATTAAGTTCATGGACAAACAATTTTCCTCTTGTTGGCAAGGACTGTTAGTCATATCCTACTACTATGCCTTTCTTGTCATGTACAGCATAGTTCTGTACAAAGTGATCAAACCCTACATAGGTACAGTAACCAATCAATGGTTGAGATGTGGCACAATGAATATAGATTGGATTGTCTAAATTCAAAAGAATCAAAGTTATGACTAGAGCAGATAAGGAATATCAGACTTTCACATCAGAGTGAAGCCTCAAAAATACTTGGCCCACACAGTCCAGATGAAATGTACTTAATGATGTTTAAACAACAAGTTGTTTGCATTTAGGAGTCATCTAGTTGCATTTTTCGCTAGTTCGGAGACAAGATTTCTACCCACCACCATCAATGGTACAGAGGTCATACATTGTACTCTTTAGTGAGTTCTACAAAACATCCTTAGGACAAATTTCAGAGATGCATTAGTCAAATACATACTAGAACCTTCCATTCAATGTTTTGACAGAATCTTATGCTAGCCAGTGCCAGTACTCTGATGCCAGTGAACAGCATTCACTACTGTTGCATACTCTTACTTGGCAAGACAAGCAAGATAACTTCAATGTGTACAACAGAGAAAGGAGTCACTGTTATATATAAATGCTGAAAATTTGCATTCAGATTTGGTGTGGTTATCTGCAGTCTTTAGTGCAACTTGATGCACTTCACAGAAAATAATGGTGTTTTTAACAGAAAACAAATTTGCTGAGTCTTAAATTGTAATTTCATGTTTTCTTTTACTGGCTGACATCTCTGCTGCATATTCGTCTGGTTGGCACATGGAGTTGAAGAGGCTCAGTGAAACTGATCTGCACCGTGCATGATAATTGAATTCTAGGTACCAGAACACCAAGCCCCTGAAACACTCACGGGCTTGATGTCATTCTCGAGAGCATAAAGGAAGTCCGGCCGCGAAACAAGGAGCTTCTCTGCCGCGTTCGGGTCCACCTCGACCTTGGACGACGCCTTGATGAGGCGATTGAGGGCGGAAGACTGGGCCGCCCTCACCAGCCCCTCGATCTCGGCCCCGCTGAAGTTCTTGGTCAACGTTGCCAATTCCTGTAAAAACGTCGGGAAAACGATGTAAATTTCGTCGAATCTCGGTCCTCAACCGTGCAAGGCCGAAAGGGTCTCCGTACGCAGACGTCCACATCCGAACCCATCTTCCCAAACTGCCGCATCCGTGACGTGTGGATGTTGAGGATCTGAACCCGTCCGTGTTCGTTCGGGAGTCCGATCTCCATTTGAACCTGCATAAATCACTCGTGAATTTTCCCCTTACACATTCGAACGAGAACAAGAGACACAAAAGTGGGATCCCAGCACCTCGAGCCTCCCCGGTCGAAGCAGCGCCTCGTCGATCATGTCCCGCCGATTGGTCATCCCGATCACGAGAACGTTGTTCAACTGCTCCACCCCGTCGATCTTGGCCAAAAGCTGGTTGACGACCGTGTCGTGGACCCCGCTCGCCCCCGCCACCGACCCCCTCGCCTTGCAGATGGCGTCGATCTCGTCGAAGATGATGATGTGCAACCCACTATTGGGCCCGAGCTGTCGGAAGATACACCAAAGAACTCGTACAATAATTACGAAAATTCTCTGAAACGCCGTTAATACCACGCATTCTCATCAGGAATTCCAAGGACACCAAACTGAGCACGATAACATAAAAAAATTATTTTTCCTCTCATAGAGGCACGCTCCCATAACTAAATAAACGAAGTTTCCTGTCTCTTCTTTCCCTCTTTATTCTCATCTCGGGGGGAAAAAAAAAAATCTCGCCCAAGGTAGACCCAATTCTCATGTTCATTGCATTACCGACTGCTCCTCGCCTTCTGCAGCCCCCTTCATATTCCCTCCCCCGATCGCATCCATCCTCACTCCGCCCTCCAAGAGATTCCGTCTTCCATGAACTCAGATAAACGCCAAGCACGGCTTTCGCACGAGACAAATAAAAAATAAAGGGGCGAATCGAATCCTATCCGACTGCTAATTTCCTCTCAGTCCATCGAATTTCTTATCTGTCACGAATAGACTCGTACGGCACAACGTAATCAAAAACAATCCCAACCGTATCTTCCAGTTCCTCTTCCCAGTCACGTAAACCAAGGTAGTAACCTTCTCACTATCGTGAAACGATGCTGTAACAAGCGGATGCAGTGCCCATTTCTAACAAAGAAAAATTACACGATTAATAAAGCAGTTACCCTTTTCTCCTCTTCCTCCGCGTCGGCAAAGAGTCGTCGGATGTTGGCTTCGCTCTCGCCCACGTACTTGTCCAGGACCTGGGGTCCGTTGATGATCTTCGGCTCCCGGGAGTTCAGCATCTTCCCGATCTGGCGGGCCATGAGAGTCTTGCCCGTGCCCGGGGGGCCGTACAGCAAGATCCCCTTCACGTGCTTGCAACCTGGGGGACGGAGTCGTGAGTCGCGGAGGCGGGGCGGGGGGATTCAACGGGGTCGGAGCTCACCGAGTTGCTCGACGACTTCGGGGGGGAACACCCGGGATGCGAAGGCTCGTCTGAAGATGGCGTTGAACTCCTTGTCGAGTCCGCCGATGCCCATCCGCTCGAAGTTCCAGTCGGGATTGATGATATTCGGCCTGACCTGCTTCCTATCGACGAAATCTCCATCAATTCCCCCGCCGAGGCAAGTTTTCTGCTAGCTCTCAGCGAACGTGCACTCACCCCCTTGCCTTCCCCACCAGGTTGATGGTGGCTCCGTCCGCCTTGTCGAAGCTGACGCTCGTGTTGGGCAGGACCATCCCGATCTTCACCTTCTTCGGCTTCACTTCCTTCCCCTCTTTGATGGCGTCCAGGTCGGTGGCTATAGAGAACCAGAAACGAAAATTTCACACGGGTGTTCAACTTCATAAAGCTGGTTCATTCGTCGTGGGCTTTCGCCGCTTTTTGCTCTACTTCTAAAATTCCCCCCAGAGTTCCAGTGTTGGCCTTTCTTCCTTAATCCAATAAGTCTAATGCTGCCACGCGACAGGGGTGTCAAATTGAACGTTACATGGTGAGGAACTTGCTTGCGATAAATGACACTGACTGAAGAACACATTAGGAAAATTAAGCTTCTTTCTCCTCTACCCCTTGGGGTAAACCGCATGTTGTGTTGTATCACCAGTGCAATACAATTACAGGCAATTACAGCCAACTCTCGTTAATCCAGACTCAAAGCAACCGGCGATTTCGTTCGGATTAACCGCTTGCCATTGAAAACCTGACCGAGCGACCACTCATTTTCCTGACGAAGAAACCTGCACCCCAACACACAGCAAAATTCCATTATTTATTTATTTTTCTTTGGCGAAGGTATGGTAATCGCAGAATTCTCACAATTAAACCTCTTCCGCGCCGGAGCAGGTCGAGAACGCTTACTCAAGGGGGAAAATAATCTAATTGAGGCTCGTTTGACAAGGATGGATGAGACCCAATGGGGGAAGAGAGAAACGAATGCAAAGACTAGGATAAGCTTAAATGACATGAAAAATCCCGAGAGAATTTCCAATTATCCGAGAAATGAGAAGATTCACTGTTTTTTCTTTTCCTACATCGTAATTACAGGAGTGAGAGTGATTGGGAGATTGGCCAACACTTTTTTTCCATCAGCCCTACTCTGTCTCGTCGGCAAGCAAGTCCGGATTAAGAGAAAGAACTGCCCAGAGCCCGCATTCGCACGAACGGGAGCTACGGAACAATGGCGATCGGTTAAATCGAAGACTTAACTCAGGTTCTGCGGAATTTCTGGCAAGACAATTCCTCCCGTCCGAATAACGGATGAACGAGAGCTGCCTGCACCACATCATCGATCATCGTTTTCTGTCGGAGATGTATCGCATCGACCTACCTTCGAGGTCCTTGACACAGAGCGACAGGAGCTTCTTGTCGAGGAACTGAAACACGAGGAGCTGACCGACGGTGAACACCCGGTTCGGAAACTGCATCACAAACTCCTTGGCCATCTCATCGGTATTGTACGGATCCTGCGTCACACTGTAAAAAAAATATGAAAACCCTCAGCGGACGGACGGACACACACACACACACACACAAACTGACCTCTTCTTCTGGAAGAAGTCGATCTCCAAGACGACGTTGCTGAGGTACTGGTCCTTCCCGACGCTAAACGGCCGGACCTCCACCTCCTGGTTGATGGACAGCGACGCCCACTTCCTCTGCGGCAGGGAGAAGCCCATCGTCCCCGGTCGCATCTTCGGATACGCGTGCACCGAGAACACATAGTGCTGGCCCGGACCGCAGATCACTTCCCAGTGTCTGGGGGAGGAAGCAGAGTCCGGGTATCATTTAGCAGCTATCCGGTGCCTCTCCTGAGGACGGGTGCATCGGCGAAAGCTTAAAAGACCTAATAAATTTTTAATCGCGTGCCACGCTCGGGGGAGCTCGCTGTGTATCGTGATCTGCTTGGGCTCTAGCGTTTCCTGTCACGTTTTGTCGTTTGCTATCAGAATTGATTCACTCTTTTTTGTTGACCTACCATCTGCGCAAAATAGCAGGATTAAAAAAAAAAACTGATTAAATTAATGAGTCCTCTTCATGGTTTCTCCGTTTAAAAAAATTGGCGTTGCGTGAAGCATCCCAGACAAGCAATAATTTTTTGTCATTGATTTTTTTGAAATAACACCCTCGTAATTAAGTCATGACATCGCGGAATGGAAAATCCCCAGTTCCCTTCCAGATCCCAAAATACTCGGGTGCCACCGAGGCGGCAAGGGTTGTCGAATCCCGTTCTCCTGGATTTCAGACACACGTTTTTTTTTTTTGTTAGGGCGTACACTGACAAATGAATGCACTCCACATCGAGCCTACATTTACGCTTCGTGGCGAGGAAGTATATTTGAGAAAAGTGTCAATAAAACCGTTAAGGTCATAGGACCCTTTGCTAAGGTCTAAGCCCCGTCGCTATCGGCCGTTAGGATGCTTAGCGTGCATCAGACTCGGGCATCGGGCTGATGGAATCACGCTGATGCATGTCCACCAATTAGCTTTGCCTTTGACCTTGCTGAGATATGGTTTCGCAGTTAGACACGAAGAAAAAAAAAAGGAAACCGCCTTCATCGGCGGTACCGCCGATCCTCTATTGTTCGCAAGTTTTCTTAGCATCGTCTAACCCTATGGGCATTGAAACTTTACTCGATTTTCTCATCATTAGGATTTCCCGTACCAATTAAAAAAATGTATTTTGGGCGATAAGTCTAGGCGATTAATACAAAACCTCTCACAAAGCCAATTAGTGTGTGGGTGTGTTAACAAGTTTTCTCAGGGAATATTCCTAAAACGCCCCTTGAAACTCTTAATTACTTTTATGACACTGCGACCCGCTTGCATACCAAATTTCATTATTATCCTTCCCGGTGTTTTTTTTTAATGGGCGATGAGCATATTAGAAATGATTCGCTATGAAGGCCTGGGTCTCATATACAAGCATATTACGTAAAAACGGGAGGTGTTTAAACCAAATGTCGACACTCCACGTTCGATTTCCTCCACAGCACTATTACCTTTTTAGGCACCCAGAGAAAACCATCAAGATTAGAGGGAAACACGCTCCCCTCCCAATAAAGGTGGGGAATAAAGCTAGTCATAGACGAGAACGAAGGTGGCGATGAGTGGTGCAGGCTCCGACTGTTCCGCCCTTTGTCAACAGATACCACGCCTTGCTCTATGACCTACTCAATATGAATCACCAAGATCGATCCAAGCAAACAAGATCGCGACGATGCTGGCAAGAGGCGGAATACACAGAGTTTGCACATCGCACAGATCAAGCAATAAGACACGGCAGGGCAATCATCGCCGTCCGGCAGGGCAATTACACGCGCACAGCCGCTAATCGGATATCTTCGGATCCGCAACTCTTGTCGAATCGGACCGGCGAAATCCGACTCCAACTCACTCCTGCACTCACAAATTGTCCCCTTTTTGCGTTCCTTTGGGATAGATCAGATTCCTTCCGAGCCACACTCCAGAAATTTTTCTTTCACCTCGGGATGAGTGGTTCTTCCAACCGACAAACTCAGGAGAAAAGCATCTTATCACGAGAATAATGAGAAAAAAGTCCGTGGTGAGAACAAAAACATTCCTTTGAAGTTTTAATCTCGCCGTCTTCAATTAGCCCGCATTCATTTCTTTTTAAAGGCATCTTCTTTCTTTTTTAAATCGGAGCTGACATGCAAAGCCGCTCCTATTTAATGCTCCTTTTCGTGCAAGTTTTTTTTTTTTTTTTAGCCCATACCATGATCATGGAACCCCCCTCCCCCAGTCCTACAGCATCTCCCAAAAGGAGACTTTTCCGTTTATGCCACGAATTGGCATTCTCGAAATGTGAGTGGACGACGCGAAGGGAATGTGGTCGCAAAATTGGAGCTCGGAATCACTAATGTCTAAAAGACGTCGTATACCCAGATCCGTGGGACACTGAAGACTAGCAATGAGGCGATACGACCAGGGAAGTTTGCGGAAGGAATTAACCCTCGGCTCCACAGGAGAGATGAGCCTCACCCACCCACAATAATCCACGAATTCAACATGAAAACCTCACGAACATCACGATCCCTACGTAGCCCTGGCTGTCCACCGCCCAGAGCCGACACCCCTGACATCTGGCGAGGACAAGCTTCAATTCACGCAGCGACACTCGATTCGTCTAAACCTCACCCTCACACGAGACATCTAGCTGCGACCGATCAAACTTACTTTTTTTTCAACTTTCTCTCACGCATATCCATGAATTCACTTATCACGCTGAACCATTCTGACGACGAACGGAACTCAACGTCACGCAAGTCGCCTCACGCGTTCCGTCAAATCTCCCGATCGTCAACTACTACGAACAAAGTAAAAATATATACATCTGTAAATAATAACAATATGGATGAAACGCCAATTCAGACACGGCATGGAAAAACGACAGCCGAGACGCCGCTAAAAAGACTCCGAAAATTATTTTCCTTCTGATCTTTTCGCTTTCGGAAGCGAAAAAAATGCAAGAAGGCGCATCGAGCTCTTATCACGCTCACGATACGTACCTCGCTCCTGCGTGCGTCACGATCCCGCAAAAACTCCGCCGGTCACGCAAACCTCAAGCACCAAACCAGTCACAATACGCGGCTTTGCTCCGCATCCACATCTAATAGCTCTGACGTCATTCGTCACATCTGTCACCTCAAACACATCAGGTCCCAAACTTCTTTTTTTGAGTAACGTTTTCGTTGAAGCAGATGGAGTTTTGGAGAAGGATATAAATATAAATATATATTTTTAATTCCTGACAATCGTGTAGCCAAATCTAGCTAGAAGCGAGTCAATGCCATAAATGAGACAGTCCCAGGAATTTCTCAGCGTAGGTACCATCATCCTGACGTGGAGCTCAACATGTTACACGCGCATTTTCTATTATTCTTAGTTACCATTCTCATGAAGCGGCAAATAAAAATATATCTGGGGTATTACAAAATAACCTCCTCCCTCCAGTTACATTTTTTTTGCAAACGTCATTGGTCATATTCAATGATGGACCTGTTAAGGGCTTGTGCTCAGTGATGGGCCAGGGCGCAGGCATGCGTGGCATGAACACCTCTGAAGAGACATGTATGCTAGCCTACATCACCAAAGGAGTATGTACACTATGGAAGCTTAAAAGCTGTTGGAAATTTTATATCCTGTTGCCCCTCGCTGGGTTTCATACTCTCCAGTTCGATAGCATTGAATAATATATGTACCGACCCACTGACGATCTGTTCATTATGCATATTGTTTGCCAATCAACACCGGTTCGAATCGTTCCGTCGCGCTTTTTTCACAAATTCCAACCAGCTCGGTGCGGTGGTTGCCGATCCCTCAGGAAAACCCTAAACAAGATTAATCTTCCAATCTCAGAGCGTAATTATGATGAATATGCAATCCAAGAAGGTATATTTAGGCGGATCCGCCCTGTTCCCTTCTCTCTTCTATTCTTCATCTGCAGATTGGGGCGCGAACCTTTTCGTCTTCATTTTTGCTTGTCTGGCCTTCTCTTACGATTGCACTAAGTAACATTTTCAGTGACGTAATTATTTAATCATCTGTGGTCCAAATCAGTTTATGTTTAATAAGTAATTGCAAAACTCATCTGATATAAATATTTATTCAAGATTATCGTCATCTATATAAAAAAAATTTACCTCGCACAGGTTCTGGTGAAGGTAAAAAGGAATCTGCTTTTTTTCGGGGAAGGGGGGAATGTAATTCCTCTATTCCCCAGTGATATCCAGTATTTCAGATGGCGGTGATTTTGGTTGTTGGTATATCTTATCTACTGCATTAGATTGATGAACCACTCTCCTCGCACTCAGTGTTGTACAAAGGTGGATTGCTTGATGGAATTGAGGCGGAGAGCAAACATTTTTTTCCCTCCACAGCCTCAGCCCTACGCGTCGGGTACCAGTCTATAATGAGACAAGCGCCTCCTTCGGAAACGAAGCAGGAGGCACCGAAGAAAGCAACCCACTATCAAGGGAAATCCAGGCCTGCAAAAGCGAAGCGGAAGCGTTAGGGTACAAAGCGCTGAGACCGTACGGGAGGATAAGGGGGGAAGGGGGAAAAGAGGGGGAAAGCAGGCTGAGAGAAAAGTCCAGGGGGGGATCGATGCAAACGCTTCGTCTGGAGACTGCCTGCTCCTTCCCTCGCCTCAAAATGATTCGTTCTTCACGGAACCGAGATTCGGGGCAACATTATTCTCTACCCCCATGTATCTTATTCCCTTCCCATACGCTCTAGCCCGACGAGGAAACCCCCCTGATTCCCCGTCGTCTCTACACCTGCCTCTCTGAAGCCATCACGGAAACGCAGTAAAACAATAATTTGTGAAGGCGGGGGTAGGGGGGGGGGGGATAATGCTTCCAGAGTAACGACCCTCGACAGACTCGACCTTGGGCCTATGATCGATATTACAGCACGATAGCCCCCCCCCCCCTTCTCTCTCTATCCCTGGATCCACCAAAACTCTATCCTCCAGGTTCTCCCGGGCACTGTAAAGCAATTGCAATCAACAGTGAGAGGAGTAGGGTAAGGCTCCAAGATCAATGTACTTCATTGGGGATTCCTCCGGTTTCCTTGTCCTCTCTCGTTTCCGCCAATTGTCCTTTATCCTCATCATTTACGTCATTTCTCTGAAACTGTGGGGCTTCTTTACTTGGAGCTGATATTCCCTTCCATGGGGATCACCACCATAAGTCAGAACGGCAGAGATTCCCACTACTTCATAGGACTCTCCATCGTCGAGTTCTAAAGCTCTTACTGCTGAGTACTTTCCTTATTACAGGTATGTATACTCATCCACATTCCTTGCCCAAATGCCTGCACCATGATGCCAAGTACCAGACTTAAAATACAGGGGGAGGGAAAATGCTAGTTGCCTAATTGATGATAATGAAGTTATCCATGTGAAAAGCATTCTTTTTTTATGTTTTGGCAAGAAGACTTTGCACTGCCACATTAATATTGGTTCCACAGGCCTCAATGAAACCTTTGCAGACTGGTGAACCTCAAAAATTACAATCTCATTTCATTTAGGGTCAACTAACATTTGCCACACCCTGTACCGATACTAGTATTAGCAGTCATCTAAACAAGAGCAATCAACTGCAATCCAATCTGACAGACCCTGTTTCATCTGAGTTCCAGTATCTGTGAGAGGTTTAAACCTCGAAAGGTAAATGGGGGTGATTGAGGGAGGCACTCACGGATACTTTTTCGTTTGAAAGTCATCGTCGCTGACAATCGCACAGTTGGTGAGAGAGTGGTCATCTGTTGGACACTTCTCCACCTTCACCTTCATCTGAAATAAGTGCAGAAAGCAATCAGTTCATCTGTCTGCAGAAAGATGTTGAAAAGGGGACAATGGATGAAAGGGAGGAACTTCTTCATACAAAGGTTCATTATTGATGAGTATGCTATAGGAAATTGCTTGCAACAACTGATGCCAAAATTCTGCAGGCAAAACCTGTAAATAATACTCCCAGCAACATACCTTTCAGCAACTTCTGTTTCTTTCGTAAGATGGTCACTCAGTCATTTTCCAGTCCTAAAATCATTCCTCTAAGGCTGTTTTCACACAACAGCCCCAAATAGGATAGCCTACACGGGAAGGCAAAGAAAGCATGAATTCTTAAAAATAGATTGAATTAAATGTAAGTTGCCAAGGAAATGGGAAGTTCAGGAAACAGGCATTGTTGAAAAATGATGACATGCAAGACCTTCAGAGGCTTTGAGGTTAACACACTAAAATGGAATAATAGCTTCTCAGTCCAGCAGGTACTTTAAATATTCACCAAGAAATCATTTTCAGGCAAGCAAACTCTGCTTCCATTTTGACATATTAAAAGCACTTATTGAGGAGGGGGGAGCATACATATACTAAGTTTCATAAAATGTATATTCATTTCAGTCAATGCAAACACTGGTCACACTTACACCTAGTCATATACAAAAAGCTGTTTGACTAGACTCCCTGCACCAATCTAATCCAATAAAACCTTTTGGTTTTATTTCTGTCAAATAATAAAAAAAAGTGTAACGGTTCTATGTAACAACAATTAGCTCTAAATTAAGAAAATCCTTAAATCTTAAAATTCTTAGCCTAACAACCCTCTCTATTGTCATAATTTTTCAATTACTTGTGTTTACACAATGTGGACAAAGATTATTGCTCAGACATTACTTGTATGATATCTAGAATAAGAATGGCTCTGATTCCCTATGATTTCAAATAAGTGTTGGACTTGAATATACACCATCATGGGGGTGGTTTGATCCCAGACTCCTACTAGACCCTCTTTCCTAATTGTGTGACTTTTGGTGAACAGACAAAAACATCCAGCCTATAAGAAGGCCTAGGTCAATTCATTATATTTATGGTGCCCTAAGTTATAGGCCTATGGCCAATGACAAACACAAAAAGGGTGGACAAAGGTTTCATTCATTCCCTAACACACTTCTGGTTTTGGGATGCATAGAGGCTTTGCTTGGGTGAAAGCATGAGAAGCTGGAACATTAGGATCCTTTACTCTTAGATTCTTTTCAATTGGAGGCGGTAAAATACTCGAAACAAAACACTTGGAAGGAAAGAAGGCATCTAACGATACCCTGGAACAACATCTTCATCTCGACAAAGGGTGATTACCCCGCATCCGAGTTAGATAGCTATGAAAGTCTCACCCTAGGCCAGGCCAACGATTGAAATGCAGTGAGGCCTAGGCCTAGCCGAACGTAAGGTTCGCTTCCAGCTAGGGGAGAATTGCGGGTAATCTAATTCATGACTAGCCTAGCACTTCACACCCTAGACCTACGCTTTTCTGAGAAAAAGAGCAAGTCTTTCAGAGCAGCGGGACACGTCCCTTCTCAGACGCAGCCATGCTGGCTGTGCCTCTCCTCTCCCCTCCAGGTGCATTGGCGGTTCAAAAGTGGGCGGGGCTCCGAGGCTCCGAAGAAATTTGACCTCGGATTCCCGTGACAGGCCACAGCCTAACCCAAGCAGGATTGATCCTTGCTCCTCCCTTTTTTTTCTCCCCCGGTCTATGTAGTAAGGAATTTTGATACACCGCCGCACGAGCTACGTAGTACACAACTTTTGATTATCGTATTATATATTGTAAACCGTAGGACTACCAGTGTGAACGTTTGTTTCCTGATCCTGGCGATTGATTCCACTCGATATCAAGCCTTAAAAATATATATGCTTCAAGAAATCGATTGCCCCATCGTACTCGGCATCTTGGAACGTAGAGACTCAAATTTTTTCACCAAGCATTTTGAGAATCTGATTTTTCATAAATACTAAATTGGATCGGGATATAGAATATTCAGCTGTATAGATTGATGCGATAATATATTAAAGCCGACTGAACATACTGTCTCGTAAGAAAGGCAGGTACATCAATCTTCAGACGAAGAAATGGCACATCAATACTTCATTCTTTTCAGTCTGTCGCAAACAAATAATGCGAATTGCTTCCAGCGACCCAGTCGCAGCACAGAATAGAAATAATTCAGGCAAAGCCATGCAACACCGAGAAACCGATACGTGGGTCGAGGACCAATCTGCCCTCGTCGAACTTGCAATCGTGAGAATCGAAATACGTAAAAATGTAAATCCTGCCTTCGAACTCGAACACAGGCAACACCCGCACTGCGACGAACAGCAACGTCTCGGTGCGATGTCCACGGAGCCCAAGAGACCCCGAGCGACTGCAGAGACGGCAGTGAGATGTCGGAAGGGGGTAGAGATACCGAGAGAGAGAGAGAGAGGAGGCAAGGGAGAGAGTTGGAAGCGACATCCCATCTCGAGCGAGGGAACCAGCGCTTCGCATCTCCAAGGCAGGGTACAGGGAAACATTCGGAAGGTTAGTGGATTCATCGTGGCTTGTCATGTGTTCATCTGTGGTTTGTCATGCATTCGATGAATCGAGATGGCAGTCACGTGTTTCTGATCGGGTCACACTCGGAGCACTCAATGTCGTTGGTCTTCATGAATTGATGACGCTTTTCCTCACTAGATGTCAGGTGTGACAGCTTGGGGCTCGGAGGCATTGGAGCGACTAGGGTAAGTGCTGCGAATCTCGGCACTCGGGAGTAATCTCGGCACTCCGCAATCGTCAAAATTTTGCTTCCACTACTAGTTCCCTAAGCACGGGTAGATAAGTATTCTGAGATGGTAGGACTAATGTTGTTAACGTGTGCTTGGAACAGTCATATTTGCTGTTTTCTCGCAGTGGCCACTTTCTACAAGCGCATTCTGGAAATCCTGCGAAATATTGTGATTTTGCTGAGCTTTTGCACATCCTGTTCTTCTCCTGCATACTGGATATTGTTTTATCAGGTCGTTGCATTCATTTTTGAGTCCATTGTAAACGACAGTGACACACAAGTGTGCCGAGATTGCCAACATCTGACCCAACTTCACCTTTGACCTTTCACCTCGGAAATGAAAGGCTTGGGGCACTCGAGGCTTTGCGGTACAAGGATTATAATAAAAGGTATCACCAGACTCAATACGAACGAGGAAGCTCCATTACGAAAACCAGCAAGCAAGGTGAAAGTGAATATTTTGCTTAGAGTGCCGACATTCGCAGCACTTATGAGTGCAAGTCCTCCTGTCGTTAATGCAGGATAATTATAAATTCTTCAGATTCAACCAGATTGTCAAGAGCAAGCATAATAAGTTCCTGGAAGCATTAAGTCTCGTTCACACATGTGCTACAGTCATTTACGGTGAGGGAACCCGAATGAGAACGCCTCTTACCAGTTTCATTGCTTGGGACATGATGCAATAATGCACGCATCCGCCTTAGGTACCATCGCCTCTCGCCGTTTGAATCTGCAAAGGAAAAATCGGAAAATGCATTCTGCAACCTTCCTTTCGGTTTGGAAAGGTTTCGGTTTTTTTTCGGGTTGTCGATACATTTTTGCCGACTCCGATTCGTGAAACCGCTGATGGTGCCGAACTCGAACGAACGGAAACACCCATCGAGATTAAACAATTGAGCAGCCGGGATTCGGATTGCAGGCGAAATTCGAAGCCTGACAGGAAAAGAACCATCCTCGTGAAACCGTTCTTACATGACAATGTAGCAAAAAGGGAAATATGGATATATGGGTGTCAACTCTCGAATCACGTAGCCAGCACGTGTGTTTGGCATGTTCCCCCCCCCCCCCCCCCCCCCCCCCCCCCCCCCCCCACACTACAGGGTGTTACGGGACCCGCGGACAGAGTGGCGGCTGTTTACTCCCAAATGGAGCAGCGTCTTCAGAGCCTTTCCACTCCCTTTCTTGTTGACAAATTCCTCGCAACGGTCGCAAATGACCCAACTTTATTGCACCCTCCACGGTATAAAAACCCGTCTTCAGTTCGAGAAGAGCCAGTCGTCGCTTGCACGACTCAGGCAGCTCGAGCTAGAAGCTCTCTAAGCTTTTGAGCCCGCCGGAGTCTGCGACCGGACGACTCCCCCAGAGTTCGGTTGACCCGATTCCATTCGTGGATCCACCCAGAAAGGAAGTGGAAAGGCTCTGAAGACGCTGCTCCATTTGGGAGTAAACAGCCGCCACTCTGTCCGCGGGTCCCGTAACACCCTGTAGGTGTCGCCGTTCGAGCCGTCGGCTCGGTTTCATCGCGAATCGAAACCTCGAGCGGAATTGCTACCGGATTGTAGCACCGGTGATCCCTTTCCTTACGGATAGGAAGGCCTCTGGACCTTGCTATCTCCAGACGGCAGAATTCCAGTGGTTAATCGACTCCTCACCTGATTCAGGCACCCATTTGAGAAGAGCTCGATTCAACCTGAGATTTTTCTTGCAGCGACGGAACACAAGGACGGGGCTCTGGGTTCCCCCAAGACCCAGAAGTGCGGAGACATCGGAAGAAGACAGCGAGACGTCGTTTGGACTTCACACCTTTGGAAGAAGAATATTTGTACCTCTCGGACAGCCCCTGAATTCAGAAACCTGTAGTCATTCGTCGTCGCTCAATAAACCAGGTCCATATATCCATGAGACTGCAATCATGTTCTTTGACCCACCTGCCAAATCTTTTCCCAATAGCAGTACACATGCGGCAATCAGCCGTCTGCGGACGATTTCCCGAGTTAATTTGTGTAAACGCAACAACATAACCGGTGCAGCCCCTCTCGAAAGCTTCCGTTCAGTTCCCCACTGACAACTCCAGTCTCTAATGTATCTCAATAACCTGTGCTTCCTACGATCGACAACCAGAACTTCCAGCAGCAGACTTACCATCGACGTGGAAAGAAGACAAAGGTTAGTAGTCAGCTCCCGGCACATAGGAGAAAGACTGTTAGCCAGTCAACCAATTGAACCTATCTTATCTTTATTATCTCTCTCTTTCCTCTAAAAAAAAAAAAAAAGAAATAAAAATCCCTAGCTGAGAGAAAGTTCTCCTACGGTCTATCTATATGAGTGATCCCCCCCGAGCATACCGAAGTGCATGCTTCCGATTTTTCTGGAGGGGAAATAGCTCACACTAAAGGTGCTTGAATAGGTAATTCTAATTGCATCGCAATTAATTCAGGTCTTTCACCCCAATCCATACTATCCATTTTCGTTCCATTCGCTCCAACGATTACAAAACAATTTTTGCGTGGG